GGTCATAGAACTTATAGCAGTTTTACAAGTGTTTCATGATTATAATACAATCCCTTTCAATTTGTATATAGACAGTAAATACATAGCTCACACTGTTCCAATTTTGGAAACAAGCGGTGCTATTACTACATCAAATTCTGTGATACAACAGTTGTTTTTGGAACTACAAACTGAAATACACCAAAGAATTGTTCCATGTTACATTTCCCATGTGTGAGCTCACTCGCCTTTGCCTGGTCCCCTTAGCACGGGGAATGCTTTGGTAGATGGCAGCTTGTCTCAAACTTATCTAGCTCTTTTAGAGGCTGCTCAAGCTTCGCGTGCCATCCATCATCAGAACAGTGCCAGATTGCATAAAACGTTCTGCATTCCAAGAGAAGCAGCTTGCCTTATAGTTAAGAATTGCCCATCTTGTTTACAACATTTGCCTGTTCCTCACCTTGGGGTGAACCCTAGGGGCCTTGTCCCAGAAAAGATATGGCAAATGGACATCATCCACATGCCTTCATTTGGAAAATTAAAATTTGTCCACTCTACTGTTGATACATGTTTAGGGTTTATTGTGGCAACTGCAGCAGCCAAAGAGAACACTTCTTCTGTTATCACCCATTGTCTTTGCTGTTTTGCCATTTGGGGAATTCCTCATACTATTAAAACTGATAATGCCACAGCTTACACTAGTGTGCATTTTCGGCAATTTTGCATGCAGTTGCACATTACACCTTTAACTGTGATCCCTTGCAATCCTCAGGGGCAAGGTATTGTGAAAAGAGCTGATGGCACAATGAAGCTGCAAATTCAAAAAATTAAGAAGGGGGAATTGTACCCTTTCACTCCACAAAATATATTAAACCATGCATTATTTACTTTAAATTTTTTAAATGCGGATGCACATTGGGCCACAGTGGCTGATCGCCTATGGCACCCCACAACTAGCAGTTCTTATGCTCAGGTAAAATGGAAAGATTCACTTACTGGTCTATGGAAGGGTCTCAACCCCGTATTGATATGGGGACGAGAACATGTTTGTGTTTTTTCGCAGGATGATGATGGGGCACATTGGCTTTCTGAGCCTTTGGTGCATCAGTGCGACAATTACCATATTGAAGACCCTGGAGACCATTGATGCAGCCATCCATTGGGCCTATGTTCTGAAACCACCATTGTTGCATGTCACCAATATGAACAAAGATGTGCTATTCAGCCATAATGTCCCCTCAGACTGGAAATCTTGGAACTTTACAGGGATGCGTCGTGGGATTCCATTCTGCTTCTGAAAGGAGAAAACTGGCACCAGGATTAAAGGATGTTATAACATCTCCGACCTTGCCTCTCAGAAATCTGACCAGGCTATGCAAAGATTGAATGACACTGTTGGTAATACCACAGAATGCAACAGAACTTCTATGTCTTACAGCTGTTAATTTGTTTTTAGTAGGCAATGTGACATCTGGTGTGTTTAACATTACTCCTAGTCTGGACTACAATACGACTTCTATTATCAATTGCACAAATTGTAATTTGACTGTTTACACTGTTTAACTGATGAACACATTATGGTAATATTGGTTCATCAACCCCCTTTTGTGTTTTTGCCTGTGAATATTACTATCCCTTGGTATGAGAACAAAGGGTACAATGTATTATAACACTTAAGAAACATGTTATCTGTACAAAAAAGGGGTGTAGGGTCAATAGTTTTAGGTATATTGACTTTAATAACCATGATTACATCTACAACAGCCACAGCTCCAAGCCTCACAGTGTCCATACAATCTGTTAATTTCATCAATAACCTTACTAGTAATGTTTCCCAGATAATGGGAACTCAGGAAAAGATAGATTTAAAAATGGAACAAAAGTTACAATTATTGTATGAAGCTGTTACCAATTTGGGGGGCCGTGTAGACACTGTGTACACCCATAGCAGAATCAAATGTCATGCAGAGTATCGATGGATTTGTGTAGCTAACAAAACTTACCAGGGCAATTCCAGTGGCTGGCAGAAAATAAAACACCATTTGGAATGGTTATGGGAGAGTAGCAATGAATCCTTAGATCTACAAAAACTTCACAAATAAATATTGGCATTAAGTCAAGCACATATAGATGTGCTCCCTATGGATATGGCTAAAGACATATTCGATAAAATTCAAAACCTTATTAGATCTCCAATTCAGGCATTATGGAAATGGCTGACCCCAATAATTGCAGTAAGCATTGTTGACCTGTTATTGTTTTGTCTTGGACCATGCATTATAAGATCTATCTGGACATCTATAATAATGGTGGAAAGGGATTTGCATATGATAAAGCTACAACAAGCCCCACGCCCCATTGAACATGTGGTGTAAGAAGAAGTCTTAGTATTCAATGACGGGTAAGATTCCAGTCACCTGGTATGAACCTAAGACAGGCATTCCCTGCATAGAGGGGGAACAGACCAATGATGGGTAACAACCAAGGTTGAACAACCTACGTGAGAACAACCTAAGACAGAAGTCAAGATAACCTTATGCCACAAAAATAAATAAAGAAGGGAGAAATGTCAGGGACTAAATAGTTAAAGCATGAAACTGTCTATCTAGAAAAGCAGAGTCCAGATAAGAATAGTATGTGCTTACAGAGTACAGAAAGTGATGGCCAAGGACAGAACAAATAGAGAGTGTTGGCAGAACAGTTTGGGTTAAAGTATGGATACTTCTTAGTTAAGAGGAAATTAAATGTTAAAAATTGAAGAAGTTTGAATGCCTGATTGTACTGTGCTTGTATATAAACTATGGAATAAAGAGAAACGGGGCTACTCAGGGACTAGCCCTGGTGCCCTCCCTTTGCAGCAAAAAGAGTCTTGTATGCCTTTCACATCTCCACTCCCTCCTTCAGGTTCCCCAATAACCCCGGCTGGACTGGACATTACCTTCAGCTGTTCTTAGACATTTTCAGTACAATATAATATGAAAAGTAAGAATCAATGTGTTATAGATAGCTTCGTTTGAAAAGGTCAGCAAAAGGTGGCTATTGTTGGAAACAGTTTTACAAATATTTTCCACTGACAATGTTAATATTCATTTTTATCCCACTTGCATGAATTCCAAAGTATCATCTTAAAAGGCTATTTGGCTATAGTAAGCAAACACTGAGGGAAAAATTCTATAAAAATTTTATAATATACCAAAATTCTATAATATACCAAATTATGGTATGAAATACTACTCAGTCTTTAAAAAGAAGGAAATTCTGACATTTGCTATAATGTGGATGAAACTTGAAGGCATTATGCTAAGTGAAAAGAATGAGTCACAAAAGCACATGTACTGTATGATTCTGTTCATACAAGGGGTACTTAAAGTAGTCAAAAAACAGAGAAGCAGAAAGTAGAATGGTGGCTGCCAGGGACTGGGAGAAAGGAGGAGAAGGGGAAATTATTGTTTCATGAGTATAGAGTTTGTTTTACAAGTTAAAAAGAGTTATAGAGATGAATACTTGCACATTATGAAGGTATTTGATGACACTGACTGTACATTTAAAAATGGCTAGGATGGTGAATTTTTGTTATATATATTTTGCCACAATTTTTAAAAAAAGGAAAAACAGGAAAACTCCCACAGACTCCTTATTTTCTCCAGATTTGCTTTGCCACCATCATTCTTTACTATGCCATCTGGACTTGTGCTTACCATTAGATGCAGACTATCAGTTTATGTGTAATTTCATTAAAAAATACAATGTTTCTTACTCTCTATGTTTAATGCCCTTACTACAATTTGAGCTAAGTTTACAATACAAGCTGAACATCTAAAATCCAAAACTCTGAAGTGCTCCTAAATCTAAAACTTTTTGAGTGTCGATGTGATATTAAAAGGAAATGCTCATTGAATCAATTCAAATTTCAGATTTTCAGACTTAGGATGCTCAACTGGGTAGGTAAGATGTAAACATCTTAAACTCCACAACACTTCTAGTCTCAATTATTTCAGGGATACTCAACTTATAATTGGGGTATTAAAAAAACCAAACCAGATTCTAGCTAGGGCACATTACTTTCTCCTCTAATAATTAATCATTTGGAAGTGGTGAACAATAGACATGATATTTAATCATACCTGAGAAACTGATCCAGCGTCATTCCTGTAAAATCAAAAAACTTCAGATATTCTTCTGCAACTAGCCTGCTAAATTCATTACTACAAAAAAAGAGCACACTTGGTTGCTGAAATGGAAACTATTAAAATAGAAACACACATGGAAAAATATGAAAAAACTCAGAGAGACACCAGTCTTGGGTCAGAACGTATTTCTTGCCTAGGTGTGTTGCAACATCCGATCTTTTGAATGTCCAGTTGATAAAGGTGTTTGGCCAACCTTTTGGCTGCTTCCATGTTGCTGCTGGTGCCATCACTAAGACTTTTTGGGGCCTCCTTTTCCAGAATTTCAGTACTTCCCATGTCAGAATGAGACTCTGGCTGAGTTGTTTTCAGCCCAGCATTGCTATGAGAATTGATAAGAAAATAAAATAATAGAAAAGATTTTTTTTTGAATGGCAAAGGAAAATATCTGATGAAATTATGATATTGTAGAAATGACTAAATGAAAATTATTTTTAAGAGATTATTCTATGCTTAAATATTCATAAAAATATTTTCAGTTATTATATTTTAAAGAACTAAAGAAGTGATTGCCTAAGCTCTAGACAAGCAGTTCTCAAACTTTTTGGTCTCCAGAACTTTGCATTCTTAGAAGTACTGAGAACTCCAGAGAGCTTCTGTTTATGTGGGTCATGTCTATTATTATCTACCATATTAGTAATTAAAGCAGAAAAATTTAAATATTAATTAATTAAGAATAATAAGTCTGTACATAGCCAAGCGCGTACTGCCTGATGTGAAGGGGTGGGGAGGAGAGGGGCTGCTTAAAGGGGCCACGGCCCAAATGATTGTTTGGGGAACCAGGAAGTCAGAAATCTCAGTGGCAGGGGCTTAGGGAGAGGGAGATTCGCTTCTGAAAAAGGACGGCTGTTCTTTAATACTCAAATGTTTCCCACTGCGCCTAGAATCAGACCACGGAGAAGCTGGAAGTATTCTGTCCCTTTAATACCTTTGTTTTGGGGGTGACTCCCCTCCCCTCGTGGGGAGGCTTAGGATGGGCGTGCGCTATCCTCGATGGGGAGTCTCAGCGACCATGAGGGGCACCATCCACTGTAAGACAGAGGACACCAGCAGGGGGCGTTAGTTGATGAGGCACCTTTTACGGGACACGGGGGAGCATGGGCTGGGCCGCGCGGGCCTCTACCATGGGGAATTCGTGGAGGAGGAACCGGAATGTACCAGGCTGAGAAGTTGGGGGGAACGGTCAGCTTGGGGACCAGCACTGGGCATTCTGAACCATAGGGAGGAAGCCAGAGGGAGCGAGAGGGACGTCCAGATTCGGCGTTAGGCCAAACTATTTGAAGGTCTTCGGGGGCAGGGTCTGGGCTGTACCATGTCAAGAAGCCAGAGAGGAGGCCCTTAGATCACTGGGCTGAACCACAAGGAGGCAGTATGGAGGGAAAGGGGTGGTACCTTGTAGATTCTCTGTAAGGGGGAGGAGGACGGGCAGATTGTGGAACAGGTTCGTACTACAGGGTAACAGGGAGAGGATCCTGACGGAACCATTTGGGAAATGCACCGTATAGGAGGCACGGACCAGTAGGTAATTGTACTAGAAGGAAGCCAGGAGGCTCGGGTCATGTACCAAGTTGCAAAGCAATGTAGACAGACAAACCATGGACCAGAGAGGGTCTAGGGCAGGGAGGTGGGATGTACCAAGTGGACAGGCAGGAAGAAGGGAGAAAGGCAGGGAGAAGGGAGAAAGGCAGTGAGCACTCAGGTTAGACCACACAGAAGCAGCAGAGTGGCTGGGACTGACATGCGTTGAGACACCCTGGGAGACACTTAAGTGGGTTAGACCAAGACATGGAGGGGGCACACACTGGACCATACCATGCAGGCGGTAGTTGGGGCCTCGGCAGAGCCTCTCGAGGTGCTGGGGGTCCCTGTTGCCTCTCAGTGCCCTGTGGGCCAAGGGCTGCAGGGGCCAGCCGTTTCTGCTGAGGCTCTAGAAGATGTGGGACGGAGGATTCTGGCTCAGGAGTCTCGGGAAGCGCATCTGCTGGGATGAGAAAGAAAAGAAAAAAAAGAATAATAAGTCTGTCCCATATACTATAAATATTATACTTGTAAAAATGTAACTATGTTTTCCAAAACAATGTATCTTTTACAGAGACAAGTCATAGTGATTCACATTTTCTTCAAATTGCTTTAACGACTATCTTATTAGAAGACAGCTGGAGCCAGGCTCGGTGGCTCAGCCTGTAATCCCGTGCCTTTGGGAGGCTGAGGTGGGTGAATTGCCTGAGTCCGCGGGTTCGAGACCCACCTGGGCAGCGAGACCTCATCTCTACAATAAATCAAAAAATCAGTCGGGCATGGTAGCGCATGCCTGTAATTCCGGCTACTCGGAAGGCTGAGGTGGAAGGATCGCCGGAGCCCAGCAGGTCGAGGCTGCGGTGGCCGGAAGTGGCCACTGCACTCCAGCATGGGTGACCAAGTGAGACGCCAACTCAAAAAAAAAAAAAGAAGACAGCTGGATTCTCAAATTCACCAAGGAAGTGCTGGTCAGATGCTTCATTGTCACTGAGAATGCACCCAGGGCTCCTGAACAACCAGCTGGTACAAGTTGCTGCAGGTCCCAGCAACTTCCCAACTACCACCAAACTTGGAAAAGTTAACTGTCCTTAGCAACTCCTCTCCAAGCTCACCACATGGGCAAGCACACCACTTGCTGCCCTTTAAAGGAAGCTGTAGGAATAGAGAAAAGGGAGACAAGTTATCCCACATTACCTTTTAGATTCAAGTATGCGAAAATGTCAATTCACACATTGCCAGATGAGACCATAGAAGAAGCTGGGAGGACAAAATGAGGTCTACCAAATGCTGGCTCATTTACTGCAATTAATTTATTTGTCATTTATTATTCAATGAATGCCACAGTCAATGCCAGTGCCAGAACAGGGCACAAATTGGAATTGGCCCAAGCAAACCATGATATGCGGTAACCCTCCATAAACAAAAAGTCACCTCAAACAATTTTCCAACAGAAAATATTCACCAATTAAAATGAATTGCTTTATTATGATGAAATCATGAAAACATATTTAAAATACATAATTTTAAATCCTCAATTATAGGGTCAAAATTACCAGTCTGTTTTATAAAACGTATCCTATCAGAAATGGACTATTCAATTATCAGCTACAAAATACCTATTATAAGTAAATTAATAGCAGAAATTTATTTTAGGCAATTCACAGTTACATTGTGTTTTCTCACATAAGTGATGGAAATGTAAAACATTTACTCTAAGAACTATATTAGTTACAATCAAGTAATTTTTATAATTACAAAAAAAAATCCTTGGAGTTGTGTTTCCATGCATTCTTTTCCTCTATATAATACTGATCATGTAGTAAAAACAAATGTCAAATAAAGGATTTTCTTCTCAATTCAACTGCTACTTATTGCTCACTTCTCAGGGCACACTTGTGGCATGTATTTAATCATTCTGTGCAAACAAGGAAATTATACTACACATACAGTACTAGTCAAATTTTTTTCAACTATAAGAGGCTTGTCCTAATGAGAATATACTGTAAAAATTTACTGCTCAAAATCACTCCCATTTCTCATGTTTCTCATTCTACATATTTGCTTTTTCCTTGCCCAGCCCAGGTGATTTCACATATTTTTCCTCATATTCACTAGAAAGATATACTTTTAGAATCTGTGTGCATCAGACTTCTCTGGACCTTAAAAAGCCTTCAGTAAAAGGAGAACATAAGGAACAAGGTGAGGATAAATGCCTCCATTCCTAGACAGCTTCACTCTGTCCCATTTCATGACTTATGAGATTACTTAAATAAGAACAGAAATTTCTCCTTTTAAATCAGAAATCTTGGCAATATGATGTTAATACAAACTTACCAGCACCAATACAGATGCCAAGAGGAGCCCATCACAATCCTCAGGGAACATCAGGCCATCCTTTCTCTGTTAAGCCCTTTGGGGAGCTCTTTGCCTCACAAGTCCAGTGTCTGCTGATCCTAGGCCTTCCAAGAACCTAGCTCCCTGTGAGGTCATATTACTATGACCTCACATTCTCAGCGGAGTGATCATTGTCAGGGTTTTTGTAATGTTTTTACAACTCCAATAAAAACAGGAGCCAGAACACAAGGGCTGCTGTGTATCAAGGGCATAAAAAACAATGCACCCTGGCCTGGTTCACACTTGATAAAGCAGACTAAATGATCCTTCTCAGAAGGGGTAACACCCAACTTAGTTTCCTTGAATACTGAAGACATTGTCCTTCTAGTGCTGAGTTTTCAATGCTTTCAGTAGTTTGACTTTTCCCTTCTTTTCTACAGTTCAACTTTATTGCCCCTATGTCTTGATCAAATCACTTTACAATCTCGTAAGGTAAAATCCCTGCCAGTTACTTAAAAGTAGAAAGGTACTTCCTGTGTTCTTGAAAATGCTTAACTGGAGCCAGTACTTCACACCTCCAAGTAACATGATATTCTCTCATCAAAACACTCTTCATCAAATGAAGGACCAGCTCATTAAGTCTGACCACCAGGCCTTCTCCTAACCTTTTGAAACATGCTAAGATTACCAGATTTTCCAAATAAAAATAATAGGACACCCCAGTTAAATTTAAAATAAACAAAAAACAGTGTTTAGCATAAGTATGTCCTAAATATTACATGGGACATATTTATACTAAAATATTATTCACTGTTTATCTGGAATTCATGGGTATCTGATATTTTGTCTGGAAAACTTATCTTCTGAAGGTTTTTTTTACATTTTATTTTATAGAATTCTAATTCTAAGTCCATAGACAGTCAGTGACTGTCAATTGGCAGCATGTTTCACAATCAAATTCCTTTTGGGTTTTGGTTTGACCTGCTCTGATTTATTCCTACTATTCTTCTACTGTTTTATCAATATTTTGCTGCCTATAATCTATTAATTCTTCACTAGTGTCCCCTAAATTAAATAAGGAAAACTCTCCTCTCTTTGTATTTTCACCCTTTTCCCAACCTGAATACGACCACCATAAATGCGACAATATGGCTACCTTACAAAAACCCTAGACAAGATAAAAATACACATCCTGTGACATATCATACAAGGCCCTTCATAAACAGACCCAATTTTTCTTTTAGAGTTGTCCTGTACTATTTCCCTCACGCTCCAGTTTCACAGAAAGATAAGCTATACTCTCTTACCTCTTACATGTGCTGTTCTCATCACCACAACTCACAATGCCAAATTCTGCAAACTCTTACTGGCCCTATGGAGTCTAAGTGAAATAACAACTTTTCTAAAAATCATAGTCCAACTCCCTGCTGCCGCATTTTCAGAGCACTTACTATAGGTCTTCACCATAGTACTGCCTTTTAAAATCTCATCGCTTTCACCTACCACTGTCTTGAATTCGACTTTCTTTCCACATTACAAAAGTAGGCTGAAGTTACCCAGTAGTCATCTGCTGAAACAATGCAAGAACAGAGCCATCCACTGTGCCTCCTTCCTCCATTGTCTTTCATGTTCTACCATCAATGATATATAACACTAACTTTCTAATTCATTATATCTAATTCTGGAAAGTTCTGGAAAAACTGACATTAGAGGGTAGCAGATATATTGTCTTATTTTACATTTACTTTTAATTTAAGTTTAAATAATTCTTTAAAATTTAATGTAATTTTGGTAATAAAACTAGGATCAAGAAAAAGAAATTAGGTTATGGTATCAAAGTTCCCCTCACCCTACATTTTTCAGTTGTACCCTGAGAATTGTACATAGTAAATAACAATTCCCTAGCTACATTTTATAAAGAAACCAGGCAAAGGTCAGTTAGAAAAAGCCCAAAGAGT